GCGTAGACATTTTAATGAAATATTTATGGAAGTTTGTAAATAGAATGCATTAAAAGTGATAAACACGAGAAAACCCAGCATTCTGATGTTATATTGGCAAAACAGTTCACATTAATGTATTCATTCTTATGTACATTTTAGCTGTTGTGGAAATTCTATGAAGAGAATTATTAATCATGGAAGTTAATTTGTTCCTTTCTTTCTTTTTATTTTTCTTTGCCGGGTGGTTGGCATGCAGGAAGGAGCTATATGTCTGTTGTGCACAATGGCAAATTTTTTTCCTTTATCTGTCCACCGACATTATAATAGTGTAAGTGGTCAATCTTTGTAATTTCAATCTGTTTTAGCATAATGTTTTTCTGTCCATATTTAAGCCCCTACCCACCAACACGGATGGCTAAAATTTGGAACATTATTTGTTTGATTAAAAGGTAATTTTCCTCGTATGATATCCATAAGTGAATGCTGTGGTAGCATGAATACATTGATCATTGGCAGGTTGAAGCTGCTATTGTTTCGAAGATCATTTCTGGAAAATGCTGTGCAAGTGTGTTGAGGGTGAGAATATCTATTCGATATCACATAATTATACACACTCAGCAACACATGTGCTCATTTTTGTTTATTTTGCAGAAGCTTGCTTATGGCTTGTCATTGCTTCCAAAAGCGAGAGGAGATGAGGATAGCTGGTGTTTGATGATGGATAAAATCATGCTGCATATAAACAGTCAATTGACTGATGTCTTTCAGGGTCTAGAAGAAGGTACTGGATGCTATTCCCTATGCAAGTGTTTATTGTGAGGGACAATGTAACTTGTTTTTTTCTTGCAGAGGCCAGAAGTACTCAAATCATGAGGGCATTACTTCCATCTGGCAAAGAACATCCTCCACCCCTTGGTGGCTTAGATATCTCTGAGCGGACCTCAGACCTTTCATCCAGGAGGCCTGAGCGTATGCTGGGATCTGGAGTTTCTACTCTAATGCAATGCTGTTGTGACATGCTCCAGAGTTTTTACCCTGTTATGGTATACTACAGTCTTTGATTTGCTTTTAAATTCAATAGTGTGGGTTGAGATGTTAGATTTTGTATAATAGAGGAAGATTGTATAAATGGCAGGTTAAAGTCCCTGTTTCTGGTCTAGTAGTACTTGCTGGGAGGGTGCTGGCTGTTGATGGTTCCCTGTCGCCGTCTTCATACTCTTTTATGAGCACCCTGAAACAAGAATTTATTTTTTCTGAAATTCCTCTTTTGCAATTGCATAGCCTGGAAATTCTCGCAGCTCTTGTCAAGGTGTTGAGCAGGTAGCTTGCTTTGATGTTTATGTATTTCTGTCGACCTAAGTTTAGGGTTTTAAACGAAAACCTATTTATGAATCATAGCTTTTGTGAATTAATGTTGTTTCATGTAATATATTGTTAGGTCTGCACATCAAGAATATTTAGTGGAGAATAATAAGTAAAAAATAATAATAGTAAAGACGTTTGTATCGCGTGGGAGCATGCTTCGGTCTCACTATAGCAAGCATGATAACAAGTTTTCGAATCAGCAAAATCTAATTTAGAGGTTCGATCTAATTTTAGAAGCGAAGTGTACGAACTAGTCTGCCGCCACTGTCCGGCTGGATTCCATCTGCTTCCTTCCCCCTGGCAAGGCATAAACAACTTTGAAGGACATGGTTAAATGTTACTAAAAGATGGAAAGGCATACCATTGAAATTTATGGTTCTAGGATAAAATTATTGATGTTAAGATTACATATTTCATCAAAGTCCCGGTCCCTGAAGATCACTTATTTTAAACTATCTTTATTTGATTTACATGGCATAAGCTGTAAGGCTTATTGTAGATATGACCTGTGGAAATTGTAATTTGTAATACAGAAGTGATCGTAGGACCACTGAGGTAACAAAAAATTGAAGAGTCCGGGTGCCAGTTTTGTACCTTTTGTTGTTGTTTCTCTTAAGTTTGTACTGTGTCTCTTGAGTGCTTCAATTTTAGATCTTTATTTCTTCAATTATTTAGATGTTAAACCTAGATTTTTATTGTTTATTTTCCTTGCAGCCAATTGTTACCACATGCTGCGGGTATTGTACAGCTGCTGGTTGACTTATTAAGGACATCCAAATTTCCTGATTTGAAGATAAAAGCATACTCCATTTTAAAAGTCCTAGTTATGGCCATGGGCATTGGTATGCACTAGGAATATTTAAAATTTTTCAGATTCCTATATTCCTAATTATTTTGATAGTGTTGGCAAAATGGTTATGTTTACGACATGAACTGTGCACGAACTTTTCCAACCTGGAAACCTAAACCAATGATCTAGTCTCTCTCTCTACACACACACACACACCCCTAACCCCCTCCTTCCCGATATGTTTATATATGTGGTTCATAATATTTATCGACATTTAATGGGCTCAATTTCTAGCCTCCACTAATTGTTTCGCTATAAATTTTGTATTCTATCCATTTATAATCTAGTCACATGTATACCTACTTTGTTTTTTTGTTTTCTCTTTCTTGTTTTCCATTTTCTTTTGCCATATATGTGGTGCAATTGATTTAAACATGAGAAGAGTTAAACTTGAAGGATGATATGAAGTCCCTCTACCTGTAAAACTCGGATAATATGTAATGTCTAGTACTCTATATATGTTTATAATTGCTTATATGGAACCTTTTTGTCTTCATGTAACATTCATTCTTTTAATTATCTTTTGCTGGTGTTCTGCATTGTTTTATAGCTGTAAAACCAGAATTCCATTGTTTGGTTTCTGGCATTACTTACATGTAAAGCATTATTGTTGAGTAATATTTATGAAAGGACCAAAGAGCGATTATTTTTAATAGGTTGTGCAAACTTGTAGCTTACTTTGCATTGGGCATTAATTTAAATGCATGTGGCATTATGCTTGTTATCTGAGACTTGTTCCCATTTGCCACACTTCAGTATAAGATGATATATTATTCAAACTTTAACAATTCATTTCTATAGGCGAGAATTTTATATACGTCTAACTGTTATAATGGTGCTAGAAATGAATGATCATCTAAGTCATGCTTTTTTCTTTCGTCTAACTGTTATTCAAACTTTAACAATTCATTTCTATAGGCGAGAATCTTATATACGTCTAACTGTTATAATGGTGCTAGAAATGAGTGATCACCTAAGTCATGCTTTTTTCTTTCGCTATATCTCAATACATGTACATTGAGATGTTGCGGCTCTCATTGACTTGGATTCTTTTTATGATTACCTAAGCATATGTTTTAATTTCTCATTTGCGGTCTTTCGGCAGGTACTGCAATTCATATTAGCCAGGATATTGTAAACAATGTATGTATTGATTTAGAGTTCTTTCACGGCAAGAAGGATGGCAAAGGTGCAGGCACCCAAACCATGGTCCATCCGGAGCTGTTGACTGGGTCTCAACAGAGGAAAAGGAAGCATGCGTTTATGGCTAGGGCCGCCCAAGAGCAGCTTGCTCACGATCATCTGGAAGTGGAAAATCTCCATAGTTCAGCTCCAATATCATTGAATATAGCTGCATTAGAGACTTTAGAGGCTCTTCTAACCGTGGTATGCGCTTTCTTTTGAGATCTTTATTATATTTTAGCATCTGAGTATCTTGATGAGTAGAATGTCTGTTCTCTCTTCTTATTTCTTACATTGACAATGTTGACTTCATAAATTATGTTACATAATGTGGTTATTTCATATATATATCGGATATGGGCACCGACACGCAATTTATGCTACATGTTTCATTGGGTTTGAATTTCTACTAAAGTTTCCCGTATATGTGCAGTTCGAGGCTCATGTTATGTGTGATTTATTTTTGCACCGTTCTTTGAGTTGCTTCTTTTCTCATTTGGAGTCGAGAAAGTTACATAGTTTATGCTACATGTTTCATTGGGTTTAAATTTCTACTATATGCGCAGTTCGAAGCTCTTGTGTATGTGATATTTTATTTTTGCATAGTTCTTTGAGTTGCTTCTTTTATCAAGTTATATTATTATCGTGGCATCTTGCTACATGCTAAATATCCTTAGTAATTACGCTTTCAAGTTCTCCTTGTGTTGTAGACAAGCTTAACTTGCATAGCTAAACTAAGCAATAACCATGACGAGTTCATAATTTTCCAACCCTTTCTAATTTCACATTCTTCACCTGAACGGGATGAAACTTGTTGAACAGGGAGGCTCAATGAGATCTGAAAGATGGCGAGAAAATGTCGATCATCTACTTATATCCGTGGCTACAAATGCTTGCAAAGGGGGATGGTCGAGTGAGGAAAAGAAAATTTTTCTCTCCGGTGATCCTCTGCCTACATGGACGGACTTCCAACTAGCTGCCTTGCGTGCCCTTTTGGCATCCCTTCTTTCACCTGGCCGCACGCGCCCGTCACATCTGGCCCTGGCTCTACACCTTTTCCACAGAGGTGGTCTATCCTGTTGTATAATAATAATAATAATAATCATATAATAATAATAATAATAATGATAATAATAATTTTTTTGAACGGTAAACATTTCATGTGCTGGAGCTGTTGTTATCCTGCAACACGGTGTTCCTTTTTTTTCCTGGATGCTTGCTTTCCCTTCATTGAAATGTTGTGTATTTTTTGTAGGCATGCAAGAAGCGGGCACAAAAATCAGTGAATATTGCGGTCATGCCCTTCTGGCCTTAGAAGTGCTCATACACCCAAGGGCCCTTCCATTAATAGACTCTAGCTCTAATGAATATAATTTTTTAACTCACAAAAGGTGGCAGGACACTACACGCCCTAGTGGAGATGGACAAATCTCCACATATCATATTGGAAACAGTGCCAGTGAGCCCGAATCAGAAGAAGACGACCTAGACGAAAATTGGCTCAGAAATAACAATGAAATGGATACTCAAATCACTGAAAGTCAAATGCCTCGCTCACTAGATGAGCCCCCTTCTGTTGAGGTCGCAACCACTAATTTCGGGAAAAATGATGTGATAATGTCTGGTGGTGATGTTAATATGCCCGAGTCTGGGGATCTGAAAATCAATATCACGGAGCAAAGAACAACCATCGATGATGGCGGTGGTGTGGGGCCCACATGTGGTCGAGGAAGTGCAGAGATAGAATCGGTGAGCAGGGAAGTTAAATTTGTCGAGAATGAAGTAGTGGTGAAGAGTGATTTGATTTCCAAGGCAGGATCCACGACTGGACAGGAAGTTGTGGAGGACAAGAACGACGAGCGCGCGATAATTGTCGAACGAATTTCGACCATGTTTGCGTTGGGGCACGAGTTGTCTGACGGTGATGGGCCACTTCCTGATATTGTCGATGGCGATCCGGATTCCGACTAAAGTGAGGTTTTTGGTGTGGAATTCATGGTTGATTAATGGTTTAATACGTTGGTGTTGCGTTTGTTTAGGCGCTCAAATTTTGGTAGGTGAGGAGTTTATATGGTGCATCAATAATTCTGATACACCAATCACGTCTTGGTTTGATTTGAATGCTTGGCCTTTGGATTTTTCTTATGTAATAGATTTCAATGTGTTAGTTACCATATATCGGT